AGACTCCCACCGGTCGGCCGTTACTTAAAATCGTAGCAGTAACCATCACGGGGCCCAAGGGCAGCTTCGATACTTATGCGCTGCTTGATGACGGGTCAACTGCGACGCTTATTGACTCTGCAGTGTGTAATACCATCGGTGCCCAGGGTGTTAAGAGTCACATGAGAGTGGACGGCATCAGCGGTATGTCAAAAGAATCTGAGGTAAGTTTTGTCAGTGTGAATGTCAAAGGACGGCACTCTCTCAAATCTTATTGGCTAAAGAATGTCAGATCCATTCCTAATCTTGGCCTTAGTAAACAATCGGCAATTAAGATGGATGTGAAGTCCTTTGATTATCTCGCAGACATTGCAGACACCTTATGCTATGATGATGTCACACCTATGCTGTTGATTGGCATTGACAATTGGCACCTTATAGCGTCTCATAGTACACGTCGTGGATCCCTTTCGCAACCAGTGGCATCCTTGACTGCCCTCGGTTGGGTTATTTACGGTTCTTTAAAGTGCAAATCGAAGGAATCTTATAACTGCGTTGTCGTAAATCATCTTGAAGCAGAGTTTACTGAATGCTTAGACTCCAGGCTTGACACACAGTTACAAGAGTACTTCCGAGTGGACTCCATCGGAATTTCCAAAAAAGATTATTTTTCCAAGAATGAACAAATTGCTATTCAGATCTTAGAGGATACCACAAGACGTCTGCCTTCAGGAAATTTTGAAACCGGTTTACTTTGGCGTCCTGAAGTTTCTAAAATGACAGTGCCCGATTCTTTCGATCTCGCTCGCTCTCGTTTCTTGAGCCTAGAAAGAAAAATGAAAAGAGACAAACAGTACGCGGATGCTTATCGTGATAATATCGAAGCCATGATCACCAAAGGCTACGCGGAATTGTGCAACGATGAAAATAACGACGGGGTCTTATGGTATCTTCCTCATTTCGGTGTAGTCCACCCACAAAAACACAAGCTTCGTATTGTCCACGATGCGGCTGCTGCATGTCAGGGAGTCAGTCTAAATTCTTTGTTGTTGCCAGGGCCAGACCTGCTTAAACCACTTTTAGCAATTTTAATGCGTTTCCGTGAAGGTAGCATTGCCATGAACGGAGACATACGGGAGATGTTTCCTCAGACTAAGATTAGAAAGGAGGATCGTAACGCTCAGAGGTTCCTCTGGCGTGACGCCCCCTCCAAGCCTCTCGATGAGTACCGTATGTCTTCGATGATGTTCGGTGCGGTGTCGAGTCCCTTCACGGCCCTATATCTTAAAAATAAAAATGCAGAGGTCCATAGAGATCGGTTCCCAGCTGCAGCGGACGCCATCGTGGACAACCACTACATGGACGACTATCTAGGGAGCGTTAATTCGGACGAAGAGGCGAAACAGCTGGCTTTTGACATAACCTATGTCCACGCTCAAGCGGGTCTTGAGATGAGGGCGTGGGTATCTAATTCCCAAGAAGCTGTTTCTCTTCTCCCTCCGAATCTTAGGACTGACGTTTCCTCTGTTCTTGTGCGCGTCTTAGGTGTGTGCTGGAATACCGAGGACGATTCCTTAAGTTTTTGTCGCGGTAGTTTTGGAGACCCTCCACATAAGTTAACCAAGCGTTCCGTCCTGTCACATTTAATGCGGCTGTACGATCCCCTCGGGCTTTTGACTCCTCATATTATTCGTGGTCGTATATTGTTCCAAAAAACCTGGAGGATATGTACCGGTTGGGACGAAGAGTTGCCACCCGCTTTTGTCGCAGGTTGGACTGCTTGGTTTCGGGAAAGTGAAGCTCTTCTCTCTGGCACTATCCCCAGACATTACTTAGCGCATAAACATGCTCACCCTCAGGTTCAGCTTCACGTTTTCGCTGACGCAAGTGAGCTCGCATATGCCTGCGTAGCCTATTGGCGTTTCGAGTGCACTGACGGAAGCGTGAGGCTCAGCCTCATAGGTGGTAAGGCTCGGCTTGCGCCTCTGAAACCGCAGTCAATTCCGAGACTCGAACTCCAAGCTGCTCTTATCGCAGCACGTTTCGCGGCATACATTACAGAGGCTCACCGGCTTTACACGATTTCAAGAGTGACCTTATGGTCCGATAGCCTCACCGTTTTGAGGTGGTTGCGTAGCGACGCCCGCACGTTCAAGCCGTTCGTTGCGCATCGCATTGGTGAGATCGCTGAGATTACCAGCATATCTAATTGGCGGCACGTGCCAACGGCACTGAACGTGGCGGACGACGCTACCAGAGTCACGTCAAAATTCGAAATTTCATCTCGATGGTTTTCTGGCCCTTCTTTTCTTGCTTATCCCGAGTACGAGTGGCCAACCGAGCCATTTAACGAGATTCCACTAGTTCTCGATGAAATGAAACGATCTCCAGTGGAAGTAGTAACTGTTACAACTGCACGCGAATTGCCTTACCCAGTGGTCCCAGACACCACTCGATTCAGCCGATGGATCCGTTTGCTTAGAGCTACTGCTCGTGTTTTTGTTTGCGCCAGAATTTTCAAGGCGGCGCTTTTAGACCCTACTTCTAAATTACTAAATTATGCGTCAGGGCGCCGAGAACCTACCGCAGAAGACATAAGCCGAGCAGAAGAATTCCTTTTACTTCAATCCCAACTATCGACCTTACGAGAGGATTACAATTTAACCCATCGGGGCGAGCTCCCAGCCAGACATGGCCGCCTAAGTAGATTAACTTTGATGGTGGACGACGAGAGCAATCTTCTTTGTCTGTCTGGTCGGATTGCAGCAGTGAAGGACGTGCCTATGTTGTCCAAGAACCCTATCGTGCTTGACGGGAAGGACCGAATTATCAGGCTGTTAATCGCATACTACCACGAACGCGCAGCCCATTCAAGTAACGAGCTGGTTGTTAATGAACTACGGCAGCGATACTACATCATCGGCTTGAGACCAGCTGTGAAAAGTGTGGCTTCTTCATGTCTATATTGTCGTATCCGTAGGGCCACAGTATCAATTCCCCCTGTCGGAGATCTTCCCCCAGAGAGACTTGCGCACCATATGCGGCCGTTTACTTATGTGGGCGTCGACTACTTTGGCCCCATCACAGTCACGGTGGGACGGCACACAGAAAAAAGATATGTTGCCTTATTTATCTGTCTGACTATACGTGCCGTCCACTTAGAAGTAGTTGGAAACCTAAGTGCCGATGCCGCAATAATGGCACTAAGGAGATTTATTGCGCGACGAGAAACACCGGCCTCACTTTTTAGCGACAACGGCACGGCCTTCGTTGGAGCAAGCAGGGAGTTGGAAATCCTGTTCGCAAAGCCAGTTCTCGAATTCGCCACCAACTTAAAAATCAAATGGAAGTTCATCCCCCCCTCGGCTCCTTTCATGGGAGGATGCTGGGAGCGCTTGGTACGAAGCATCAAGACCGCTCTCTCGGTAACCCTGACGCAACACTCCTTCGGAGGAAGTCCTCAATACCTTCCTGTTGGAAGCGGAGAGCTTAGTTAACTCGCGTCCTCTTACCCATGTTAGTGTCGACCCTGATGATGAAGAGTCTATTACACCTTTTCATTTTTTACTCGGCTCTTCTTCACCTTACTCAGCGTTAGCTCAGGTGGACGACGCTGACATGATTCGCCGTGTAAAATGGAAACGAGGATTGCGCTTGGCGAATCATTTTTGGTCACGTTGGACTCGTGAATATCTACCGGCATTAATACCTCGCAGCATCTCCGCTCCCACCAGGAATATTGAGGTCAAAGATAATGTACTAATAGTAGACGGTAACCTCCCACGTGGAGTCTGGCCACGGGGGCGGGTTACCCGAACGTTTCCGGGCAAGGACGGCGTAGTCCGAGTAGTAGAAGTGGCCATTAAGGCTGGAATTCTGCGTCGTCCTGTCCGCAAATTAGTTGTGCTACCATCTTAATAATATTTTATATTAATATTTATTTACATATGTAGTGTGTTTTGTTACGTCGATGACCCTAAATTATTGTGTTGTCACACCGGGGGCGACCATGTCACCGACGTAGCAGGCCACATATCTAATCTATGGTTGTATTATATTTAAATAATAAAAGAAAGAATAAATGAGTTCCCAACATCCTTTAAAATATTAATTTGTAAACTTATTTGTCAGTTTATGTTTAGACATTGGGAAAGCAAAGGATGACTTTTTGTTATTGTAGTTGGGGGGGTTTAAAAATTTGCTACAGGCCCTGCTCTGGCTTAATTTGGCACAGAATTGATCCCACTTCTTACAATTAATCAATAATCATAGTTGCATATACTTTAGTGATAATTTACTTCTTAAAATATAGCCTATGTAACTTGTTAATAATGTAGCTTTCTATCAGTGAAAGAATTTTTAGTCTGTCCAGTAGTCTTTAATTTTGTTCATTGCAAACAAAAATTAAATCTTGCCTATATATTACTAAAGATGGAGTTTTTAATATTTAATCACATACTTAAAGCATGAAGATGAGAAACATATAACAAAACATGAGAATAAGATTGCAGAATTCCCTAGGAAACTCCCAAATTTCTGCTTTGGCGTTAGATTCATCAGAAATTCTGCAGTACATATATTTTAGATAATTCAAATCTAAAATATATGTACTACATGTAGCAGAAGACAATTATAAGTGCCAATTGAAGTTATGCAATTAAAACACTGCACCCTCCACAATGTTGAATATGTATCAAGATTGAGAAACAAAGATCTTTTGAGGGTTCAAATGGTAATATATAAATGGTTACATTTTTTAAATATAACTGCTTGTCATCTTTCTGATCTCAAAAGCTCAGATTTCATATTGAAGAGTCAAACTAGGCTTCCTTCAACGGAATTGATACTACAGACCAGGCAATAATACTGTTTTTTTTATACAATCTAAGTTGATATTACTTTTTAGAAAATTTGATATCTATTCAGGGCAAGCCATTAATCTGAAGAAAAATGAATTGAAGGTATAAAATTGGCAATAATAAAATACAAAGGGGGAAGTTGGTAAAACTAAAAGAAGTCCATTATTTAAAAGTAGTTTATTTAAACTTAAGCCACCAGGGCTGAAGCGGTGCTAGACTCATATTTCCAGTTGGGTGGAAGGACACTTTTGGTCTTGTAGTAGCGAGCTAATCTGTGGATCCGAGACTCAACAAGAATCAACCTGAATTTGCTGTCCTTGTCTTTCCTGTTACGTTCCAAATGTTTCCTCATAGCAACAGCTTTCTTGATCAAATAATAGAGATCTTCGGGAAGGTCAGGGGCCAAACCCATAGCTTTCATGATTCTTAGGATCTTCTTACCAGTCACAAATCGTACTTGCGCAACACCATGTGAATCCCTGAGCATGACTCCTGGAAATTCAAAGAAAAAACTCAGTATTTATTGCTACATTTGGTTACTACGAATACAATCAGTTTGTTTTCCAAGTTTGATTGAGAGTTCTTAAGGGGCTTTGAAAGTTTTCTATCTAATTCACCCAATTTTTTTTTTTGTTCAAATAGAAATACAATAATACCAATATCTTCAGTGATTATTACTGATGGGCTATTTTGATATAATTGTGGTGGTAACTAAATGGCACTGTGATATCGCTGGAAAGCCTTTTGGAAAGGTTATCACTTAAAATAATTTCTTGAGTTAAGTCTGCATAGTAAGATAATCTACTCCCTTTAGGAACACTTGCATAGAAAAATATTTTAATTTTAGTGACTACAGCTAAATACAGAAAAACAAGAATGTATGATCCCGAAACAAGTTTCGATTTTATTTATATAATGTCTCAATATTTTAGCATCGATATATGCAAGTGAAACTGCTGCATAGATCTTTAATGCAAGTGAAACTGCTTGGTGGCAAAACATTAATGCTATGTTTCATTTGTTGAATTCTTTATTATTATTAAAGCGTTTTACTTATCCAAGATTCAAGTATTGAGAGAAAAATCAGTACTCACCAATTTGTGAAGGAGTGAGACCCTTTTTACCAAGTTTGAAAATCTGTTCCTTAACATCATCAGCGGTTAACTTCAACCAGGTTGGTACACTGCGACGATACGGCAATGCCGACTGAGAAATACCCTTACTGAAAACATGAAACAAATGTTAGCACATACCATGTGGAACACTGATAACGAGGTTATGTTGCGGACGCTTCTAAATCGACTTTGAGGAGTACACTAGATGATTTAAATTGATTGCATATAAAATTGATTACAATTTACAACTGTTAAATTACCCAGGTGCGTGCATACGACCCATGGTTGCGGCTTAGAAAATTCGCTGATCTCACAAAGACAACAAGGAACACGAAAAAGATGGTGGCCGGAACAGTGTTGCCCTATCAGAGCCGTTAGTTTCCCTAAATGTGTAAACGCTATAGGTATAGACTAAATATCGTTTTTTTACCATTTCATAATACGATTTATAGGTATTTGTAATTATTACCTAATTCTATATAATAATAAACAACTAATTATTTGAGTGATGGCTGAATAGTCACTATGTTTGCTTTTGAAAATATATTTACTGAAATTGGAATCTTGAACCACTATATATATATAAGGGATGTTACACTTTTTGGTATTTCTTTAGGGTATTTGACGCTTTTTAAAAAAAAATTTTTAAATTATCGTTTGATACATTATAAACACAATGTCAATATATTTCATAAGAATCTGTCCTATTTTCGATGAATAGAATTGTTAAAGTTAAAATAGCCAAAATCACGCAAAAACGAATGGTGTGCGGAATCGATTACCATTAATCGATTTTTCAAATAATTAGTTAGCAATAGGAATAGTTTAAAACGTTAGTATAATACTTACTAACTTTACTTCGATGGCTCAGCAACCCATAGCGGATCGCAAGTGTGAATATTATTAGTAGATATTCTATTACTTATTATGGCAGCCCTGGAATACTCCCATGAACATATTTGTTACCTATTGGTAACTTTACTCTTTGGTCGGAGAACTACCGATGAATGAATGAACGGATCTATAGTTTTATTTTAACAAATAGATATAAATTAACCGTTTCTTACTAAATGCGCATGTAAGAATACACGGTATAAACCTATACCAGAATAATATTTTTAAAATTTTTTGTCTTTCTGTTTGTTCCGGCTAAACTCTGAAACGGTTAGACCAATTTTGACGGGACTGTCACTGGCAGATAGTTTATGAAATAAGGAATTACTAAGGCTACTTTCCGCGCGGACGAAATCGCGGGTACAGCTAGTTTAATTCTATAAATTTTGCATGCACAATGCTGGTATAGTAAACATTGTCTTAAAATCGATTTTTTAACTATTTTTCATTAAATTGAATGGCTTTACCATACGATGGAAATAATCTGAAATCATTAATATACTTTAGGGGTAAAAATATTTAATAATCATTGACATGTATCGATTATTATTGGATTACGAATAATAGTATAATCGATGTGTATAACGATCGAGTCGACCATCATAACAAAAAACGCTGCTCTAAGTAATGGTGGTGATCACGTAGTATTTGTGACGTCACATGCCGGTAAACACCTATTTTTCAACTATTTATAATTATAATAACACTTTATTGTCACTGAAACTTACTGAAAGCGATTTCTACCAGACAACCTTTGGATGGAGAGGAATATTAATTGCAACGAAACGGAGGTGCAACGCCGCAAAGTTTTTTAAGAGAGATTGACTACTCTAGGTACCTAATAAGTAATATATTTCAATAAAACTGATAGACAACTTATTTGCACATTGTACTTTGCACAAACGTCATTCTAGCCAGAAGTTATTGTTTTTGTACGAGTACCTAGTATTTTTGATACATATCAGGTATATAGTAGACTAGTGGACGCCCGCGACTTCGTCCGCGTGGAAGTCGGTATCCCGTGGGAGTGAGAAGTTTTCCCAGTAAAAAGTACCCTATGTGTTATTCTGATGTATAACCTATATTGCTGTAAAGTTTTATCCAAATCCGTCCAGTAGTTTTTTCGTGAAAGAGTAACAAACATCCATACATCCATACTTACAAACTTTCGCCTTTATAATATTAATAGGATAATAAATGGATTTCTTATTATAATAATCGTTTTTTACATAGACTAAGTACTAATAGATTGCTATTAAGCGTGTCAGCCAAAGGAACGACAAATAAATCATCAGTGTTACTAGACAGTTAAATGTTCCTCGATTATGGGGAGATATTTTGTTATCAGCAAAGGAGGAATGATTTGATCAGTTTTATTTGTAGAAATGTTTAGAAACTATCTCCTTTTCTGCGTCTTCACCAAATTATAGCCGTAGGTACCCACGTATGATTTAACTTCCCATAGGTGAAATAATTAATAATAGAGGAACATTTTTTTATTGTAGAAATTTTGATACACTATCTATTATCTTAAATTAACTAGCACATTGAATCTTGGCATGGCTTGGATGCTGTAGTTTTCTAAATAAAATTAAGTTTGACTAAATTAGAATATGCTCAAAAAAGTCTAATTTAGACAAACAAAACTATTTTGAAAATTTTATTAAACCAAAATTTAAAAAAATGTGTGTTTCGGAGCCTATTCGATGTAAAAAAAAACAAGAAAACTTTTAATTTTTATAATTTTAAGTATAGATAACTAAACATTCAACAACATCACATACATGGCTCATATTCTAAGATGTGTATTTTGTAGTAATATACCCCGTATTTTGGAGTATCCGTGACAACAAAGGTACCATTATACCCAGACCTCCCAAACTAAAAAGGTTTTATACGGTTAATTAATATTGTATAAAACCAACATAACAATGAAAAGGATATGAAGATAATGCATTTTATATATTTTAGGCATCGTGTTTTAAAGTATTAACTGCTTACTATTAACATACAATATCTTATAATTTCAGGCTTTTCTATACTTACCGTTCTTAATGTTACATTGTGTATATCACTTTGAGGAAGTGTTATAAAAAGTGGACTTGTTAAGAAATAAATACCTTACTTGTATAACAAGTATTTCATTATTATATCTATTTCATAAAATCCTTATTATGTACTCATACAAACCAATACTGTTGGTGTGCCAACAGCAAATGGCTTCAATGTTGTTTTTTTATAAATGTTTTTCAAAATGCATTGAACACACCCTGGCATGCCTTGAAGGCTTCCAATTTGGTCTTCCACAAGCTTCAATCCAATTTTGAAGTTCATGTTCATGTGATGGAAATCTAAAATATAAATACAATTACTAAAACACTTTTATTTTTTATTTCATATTTAAATTTGGAAAATTGAAGTCATCATTATGATAATAATATGATTGTCATATGGAATAATAATATTTTATGAAGAAAAAACACATTTGGCGAAGATTTTTTGATATAATTAGTTATATTATCTACTATAAGCTTAAACATTGCTAACCAAACACATAGCATAATTTTTAGTGATTCTAAATACAGATGTGATATTCAATGAAGTCTAGAAGATGTAATTCAACATTACATTACAGTAAATTCAGCGGTATTTTAATATAATCAAGTAAAACTTTCTACTTAAATTTCTACTGCTTATTCTCAATAACCTAAGTTTTTTTAATTTCACAAGTCAAATAGTTCTACTTTTATCAAACTGCTATCAACTGATCATCAAAAAACTAAAATCGGAAACGAAAACTAAGTGATGTTAGTTTGAGACGTTTAACTTTAAATTCTCAATTAAGAAACCGAGTATAAAATTTCCTAAATTATTGTCAAGAGACCAGTCTAACATTAACCTATGTTATTTTAAAAGAGCAGTTCTCCAAAAAAAATGTTTGAATGGGCTAATACTCCTTTAACAACGGGATCGTTGATTAAACTCGATAAACTCACAAATCTTCCAGCGATTCATCATTAACACAATTGAACTTTGTTTTAAAAACATTGAGGAATTTGTTATTAAAATAGCATTTAAAAAGAACATTAAAAAATGCGTGATATCAAAAGACGAATAAAAAAAATGTGAACCGAGTTCGTCTCTCGATATCAAAGCCCCACCCGCCCGCTAGCCGCCAGGCGGCTTCATTATTCTGTTGGTATTTTCCGGCCGCTCAGTCGCCGCCGACCTTTTGCGCTGAAGTGTTGATGCGCATCGTCGCCGATGCACCGCTGCGAAGCGTCTTTTTGTTGATTTTTGTTTTGTTCTAGTGCATTTTTAATTCAATTTTTGTTAATAAGATACTACAGTGTTCGTCTTGAGTGTTAAGTTTAGTTTAGTGAAGATTGTGTTTAGTTTTGTGTGAAATGTGATGTGTTTTGCGCGTGCATGCAGCGGCATTGAAAAGAGCGTGCTTAGCTCAGTCTTCAGAGAGGAAGTGGACATTTTCAGCATCGACTATCATTAAGATATCAGTAAATAATTAAATTAAATTAATGTATTTCGCGGTCCGTTGTTTTCTGCGCACAATTGATATTGCGCATGCGCGTTATAGGGCTCTCAATTTAAAACTTTTACTCCATTTTTACACCTCCTCTATTTTGAAATATTTGTCAAATAAAATGAACGTTTGCATATAACCTAACTTGAAACTTTCGGCTGTGTCGGTCATTTTGTTGCTCCCTGTATAATTTCAACTAACAAGTTGAAATTACAGCAACAAAACTACATCAAGTCTCAATAATGTTTTTATATTGTGTTTTTTTTTAGTTTTTACTAAGAGCAACAAAACTAACACCTAGTTATTATTGTTTTTAGAACTTTTATTATCCTGCAATAAAATAAGTATTTTATTTATAAAAACTATTTCACGGTAATATTAAAAGTTAAAAGTAGCATTTAGCTAATACTAATTTCACAGTATTAATTCTATTGATTTCTGTAACTTTTAAAACACCTTCTCTATGCTCACTTCCATTAAATTATTTAACGACATAAATTTTTGTAGTTTCTGTATTTTTTGACGTGGATACGTCTATGTTTTCGTTCTACAGGGGGGTCATTCTGTGAGCAGGAGTATATGCACTAACGCCATCTATTGGCGTATAAGTGAACTATGCTTGCTCTGCAGGGGGAGGGACATTCTGTCAGCAGGAGTATATGCACTAACGCCATCTGTTGGCGCTAGTGAATACTTTTTTCATTCAATAAATGAACGCAACGAATATTTATTTATTTAGTGTCTTCAATTTGTTTATTTATTTATTTTTTTAATTATTCATTTATAAATGCAATTATGCCACAACGTTGCATAATTCCGGGTTGTTTTTTATCAATTACTCATATATCCATTCATACATAGACGTATCCACGCATAAAATATGGCTGTATCAATGATACAGCCAACCAGTGTCTTTTTTTTTATATACTATATACAAATTAATCGCTTTGAACAACTGATGTTTATTATAATGAAATGACGTTATGCTTTTTAAATACTTCTTCTTTATCAATAAACTAATAATGGAAATAAACTAATTAATAAACAAATGGAAAGAAACTAATGGAAAATGGCGATCTACTTTCAACTCGAGTTGACTCACTAATATTGACAAAACTATCACTCGGAAAATATCTGTCACTTTATTAGATCTGTAATATGAAGTAATCTGAGCGAAACACTGGATTCTTGCGAAATCCGCAAGGGCAACGCCATTAATTAAAAAGAAAAAAGAATATTAGCTGTCATAGCGTAGCGTAAAGTACTTTACTACTGTGGGGTTGATTTTAGCAAAATGTCTAACAATTATGGCATATCTGATGCCGATCTAAATATTGTTAAACAGCAGGCGGCGCGCCGCGCTGCCATGAGGAAAGAATTCTTTAAACAAAGTACAAATCCTTGGAAACATGCATCGGAAGCTGGTTATGTTGTGAGTATCTTTTATTACGTAATTTTCAAGTTTAATAAACAATACTTTACTCAACCAAGATTACGTTATTTTTATTAAAACTATTGCTTAGTGTAGTTGTTCATTATTTTCATAAGTACCTATTTTCAGTTTGATCCAGCAATACAGAAGTTCATGTCAATGAAAGTGACTCAGTTTGACCATTTCAAACCTAATATGAGAAACAGTTTATTTGGAATTTGTGTTATTGTTGTGCCCATGTTTGCATATGGTTACTTGATTTGGAACGACAGAGAAAAACGTGAACACAAGATTAGAACAGGAGAACTTCGCTATAGAGATAGGGATTTCAAACTTGCATAATTTTATTTGTCATATATTTAGATTATGATTTTATAGTGTTAAATAAATCCCTGTAAATTGCATTTTTTGTTGTGACTTTATTCATACTTTACATAAATACTTTTCCATAGTATCATCACACATTACAGCACTTGTCAAGTTAATGTCAATGTAACTGTGACAAGTGAAAAATAAAGATTAGCTGTCTGTTGGGTTTTATGAGTGAATTTGTAAAGATTTAACTCTGAGATGTCCCAACAATGTTATTCAGATATTGAATGCAAAATTATAAAAGCTCAAATTGAGAGGAGAGCTAAATTCAGGCAAGAATTTTTGAAACTGCGGACTGATCCTTGTAAACATGCTACTGAAGCTGGATATGTTGTAAGTTCTTCAATAAATTCATATTATTAACAATATTGCTGTCGTTGTCTCAGATTTCCATAATACAAATGCTTTAGCTACATAATTTGGGATCTGAATTTTATTTTAAAATATTATATTTTATACTGACAGAAGATTGAGTAACATTTATTGGTTAATTAATTTTTTTCAGTTTGATCCTGCTTTACAACGATTTTTATCTATGAAATCCTGTCAAGCTCAGTATTTCAAACCTTCTATAAGAACTGTAATATCTGGGATATTAAACATAGCACCATTTTTTATTTATGGCTATGTAATTTGGTATGAAAGAAATCAATTTTTACGAGCTTGTGAATGTGGGAAGATTAAATATCGAGACAGAACTCATAAATTTTAAGAAATACTAATAAAAAGTAAATACGGCTGCATGTCAGGTTGCTACAATATGTAAAATTTCTGCCATGAATTTTGATCTCTAGTTTAAATGTATTAAGGTTTAAAATCAAACGGGGAAATCTGAGTTTGTATAAATCGACATACTGTTGGACTGTACAGTGAGTCAATAATAATTATGGTATAGACTCTTCATCTACATTCATATGCATCTGTCTCTGAAAAATATATTTAGTTATATAATGTTATTAATAAAATAAAAAAATTTTGAGTGTAAAAATTTTTCATTCACAATTGAAGATGGTGGTTTTATAAACTTGTACCCAGAATATAAAGATACTATAAATATACTCTCTGTCCCTACTTTTACATATAAAATCTCATCAAAATCGTTCAAGCTGTTTCTGAGGAACTAAAACTGTGACATGAGAATTTTATATATCAGCTTTAAAACTGCAGTTAAATTCTCGGTTTACAGTTTTAGTAGGTCTTAGAATGGGTTATCTTTTTCAATACCCTTCGGTGATAAAGGTGGACCTTACTGCTGCGGGATACCTTCAGTAGGAGAGGGACAGTTGGTACCGGGATCCAGCAGTGCTCGCCGGATGATGGTTCACCTCAAATTTAAATGACAATACCATAGATGTAGTAAATCTATGGGAAAACAACATTTTATGAATAGCTAGCATTTTGATGGTTCCATAATAAGATTTTTTTGGCACAGTGTTTGGTACAGACAGGTTGTATACCCAAAAAAAGTATATGAATTACAGAGTACACCAATCAATTATCGTTCAGTTGGATGATTTTTTTCTACATTTCTATATATGACAAATTGAGACAAAAACCATTTATATAATGACTATACATTTATTTTTGACATTTACATATACATAAAAATAATATTACAGCTTAAATTAACGATCATCAAGTGATTTATCCCTTGCAACAACAGCATCATCAAACTTCACCATGTATGTTGTACCCTTATGCCAGTGAGCCGTTACTTTGGCAGGCTAAAAATAAAAACAAGTTTTTTTAATATTTTAAATTTACCTATATAAATTTATTGTATATTTTACTATCTATAAAAAAACTACTAACATATTTAAACAAATTCATATGGGTGTACATTGTAGAGCAATAATATAAAAAAAAATGTGTAATGAACACTGCTTAATCCTACTTAATCCCACTGAGAGATGCTCCCTATGCTAGCAGAGTATAAAGGTCAAGAGTTGGAACACTTAGTTTTATATGCTCCCAGGAGGATTACCTTTAAAGCTCCATAAAACATTATTTTAATAATAATAATTAAAGGTTAGTCTGTTGCCATCAAACTAGGGTAATTAGGCTAATAATTATGCTAATAATGTTGTATCAGTCTATTAGTCAGTTGCACAAACGTTCATTAGTCTTTAATGACGCTTTTACTATTGAATATCAAATTTGTATGGGTAATGTCATTTTAAAATAATGTCAAATATAATGGAAGTTTATGCAAATGGCAGTAAGTAAAAAAGTAATTTTAGTGTAGGTTGTATAATTGTAGATTGATAACAACTTCAGTTTCAAATGCAACACACAATAACGTTATATAACATATGACAAGGAACAGAAATGTATCGGTGTGCATCAGTTTCGCACTTAATTCACCATAATATTTAGGTTTAATGTTGTATATTAGATGGTGTATATGTAGTTCATGATATTAGAATAACATTTAAATGAAATTGTAATATCAAAATTGTATCACTGTATACTATAATATAATAAGTTCATTTCTGTTACCTTGCTTAATTAAGTCTATTTCCTGTAACACAATTTGCACCAACTACTAGAAAGAAAAATAAAAGATCAGTAAATATACTTACAAATCCACTTCTAGATAGAACTGCTTCAATAATGCCTGCATTGAATGTTGCGCAGTTCAATGATCCCTTATCTTTTGGTACACTAATGAATTTATTGACCTGTAAACATTTTATACTTCATCATCAACCTTTTAACATGCCCACTGAGGGGCTCAGGCCTGCCTTATGGATAGTGAAGGAGCCTCCACGCTAGCTTAATGCAGATTGAAGGGTATTAACGACTGCAAATGCAGCCAGGACCAACATCTTAACATATTTTCCGAAGCATGGAATAGCTTTGTATAATAATTTTTTGGTCACCCATTCCTTGTGAAACTTATCTTATCCATGCCACTAAACTACTTATTTTATACTTTGCTAATTGAATATAAAATAAGAATAATAAGCAAATTTAATTATCATAGACAGGTTTTTCTTTTGACTTCTCAGATGGAAGAAAAAGTAATTTTATATATACTTACTAAAGCATCTTTCTCTATTATGTAGTAAGTTCTTTCGTCATCATTAGCATGTTCCAATTTATCAGCTTCTTTACCAAATAATACCTGTAATTATTGAACTATGAATATTACTAGGCATATGTAAATTTTCAGTAACTTTTCAAATGAATAATACCTTCCACAGGGTAGACTTCACAAATAATAATATATTCAGCAACTTAATTTCTCTTTTACTATTTCTTTCTCTCACGAAATATAAATCGAGTACTCGGGTACCAACATCTTGGCCAATTTCTGAGAGTCTGGAAACATGCATAAATTTTAATCACAATAAGAATTTTGTTGGTGCTCATTAATAATTAAATTAAGATGTTACTTATTCTGTAGTTCCTGTACTGAATGCGAACGATTTTGACAATACTGTACGATTTCAGAAAATAAAAGTGCATAAAAAGCTAATGAAACTTCGCCCTTTCCCTTGCTGAGGGGCTTATCTAACATTGTGGATTTTGAGCGATTTGACGACATTTTGCAAGTGTCTATATAAATAAAGACGTAATTTTTAGTTGTAACTTTTTTGTGTATCGCTAGCCGCAGCAGTACACATATACTTCTATTCTACTAAACTCTGGCTGCATTTCCAAAATCTATGTCACTTGGTTTTGATCTGCGGAAAATCTGAAATAGAGTTAGTTTTGTTTGATAGTTAGGGATGTAGATATATAAAAATCGATGTTACAAAATCAACCATAATTTTTCACGTATGAACGCATTCACAGTGTATTGAATGTAATGTGTGAATGCTCTCTCTATTCAGCTTGTCTCAACTAGATTGGTAAAAATGACTTATTAATTTGAGATGAAATACTAAGAAAAAATTGCGTGTTAATGACTGTGTTAATTTATTAAAGCGCTAATCACAATAAAAAGGGTGCGCGATAAATCAAGCAGCACAATAAATCTAGTAGCACGTTATTTATTACATGACGATCTTTGAACTGAGCGCGTGCTATAGTAAACAATAATTTATTCATATTTTATTCTAATAGATGTGAAATAAAAGTAAATGAACTATGTAAATTTGTTATAATACACGTAATACAATTTTACGTCCCTTCACTAAAATTTGTCCTTATATTTATAACCATTATCATCTTTATTATAAACAAGTACTTAACATAATTAATCATGTCAAAAAATATATTTAAATTTATATTTTTTGTACAATTACAACTTTTATTTTTTTTAACTAACATAAATTTTTATTTTAGTTACATAAAATATCTACTAACTAAACTATGTTAATAATACACGGTCATACTTAAGATGCTACTAGAGTAAATCGTTCACGCGTCCATTAGCGTTCGCGCCCACCCGAATACTGCCCGCTAAACGTCGGGCGTTAATTATCGTTACGCATTAACGCGCAAAATTTTTAACGCCTTAACGTGTACATACTTAACAGAACTAAATTTTTAACGACTTAACGAGTACATACATACTCAACAGCGTTAAGTGCTAAGTTAGATTAGCCTGTTAAATTAACATGCTAAGTGCTAATTTCTCGACCCTTCAGTCGTAGGTCACCTATGATTTGCGCTATTCACTATGATCTTGTGCAACCTGCACCCGGTTTGTAGGAACCTTTTGATGCCATCCCGATTCATTTGAAACCTTCCCGGAGGATCCTTTTGACTCCATATTTGCCTCTCAAGCAGCTGCTTGCTCCATTAAATAAAAAAAAAAATTTTTTTTGAACCTAGCGTCCACTAGGTGTGCCGAAGGCATTGTGACATCAATGCCATCATCATCATCATCATCAGCCGGAAGACGTCCACTGCTGAACATAGGCCTCCCCCTTTGAACGCCACGACGGACGACATTGTGCCAGCTGCATCCAGTGGCCGCCCGCGACTCGGACGATGTCGTCCGTCCATCTAGTCGGGGGTCGATCAATGCCATCTGAGTGATTAATTCTTAGAGTTAGTTCGATTCTATATCAACAGCGTAGCGGGGTGAAAAGTTCTGCGCTTTCACAATTAAGTATTATTAAACTTTCAATAATTTGATAAAAACATTAAAACTTTTTAAATATTGATTTTTTATTTATTTATAAAGAGATTCGAAAAAATCAATGCTATCCAACATCGATGTTTTGTAATCGATAATTATCGAGTGTCGTGCTTAGTTATCAATATTTTTGCAATATCGAGCATCCCTAATTGACAATGGACTGACATTATACAAAGTAATTAAGCTTTATGCAAAGGGATGTAGCCCATATAACCCAATTCCATATTATTAGTTTTGTTGGACAGTCCACACCAAGATGAGAATATACCGAACATACGATAAGAGCCACTTCATTTCCTTTGTCAGCAGGCAAGGATCATCAGTGCGCGCCGCATCACATTGTTTAGAGTATTCGGTTGGTAATGAGGAAGTATTTAAAAAAAAACTTTAGTTCCTGAAATCAAACTAGATGTCACTACGGTACGTTCATGATTTCTCTATGTCCATGACAATCCTTCCGGTTTTCTTTCATGTTTAAAAGTAAATTAGTTTTCAAAACTCAATAAACAACTCATATTCTATTGGTATTGATATATAAGTTTCGAACTTTTCAAATTTCAGTTTTTTAATATGTTAGTTAAAAAGAACGGAAGGGTTGTTCTTCGATAAATATTATTCTTAACACGATTTTTTATTTTCCTTAAAACCTCAATTATGTAATTTATAAGTGCAAAATAGAATTTTAAAATGAAAGGCGCTCATCGAATTATAATATTTACTGTAATAATTTTAAATTTAGAATTATTCATGTTGAGGCAAATGCACGGCAAATGACACCGTACGTGGAGAATGATATCTGCATATAACATAATGACGAGGTGTTGGAGTAATGATATAAAAGGATTTAATTTGGGTATTTCATAATAAACACTAACATACTCTTAAAAACAAAACATTAGCATATGACAAAACAAAATATACCCCAATGAGATCCTTAACCGTGTTGCACTTAGCCAGGTAACTAAGCCAAGCGCATCTTTGACGCTAGAGTAGCTATTTGGTTCTGAACTTAATCATTATAGTCTTCTTGGTTTATAATTACGTAATTCTTTGGTAATAATTTAAAATTACAGTCATTAATTTGCTACAGGTTATTTACTAAATCAAGTCAACAATGTTTGAGAACTATCGAATTAATGAACCATTTAAGTTTCAACATTATATTAGGAATAATATTAAATTAGGCCATTTTAAAGTGCACATAATAACGTGAAACACCTTTTATTATTGAATGTGATGATAAATACCTCAAAGGGCGGCCCCACATTTGAAATAATCGACATCAAGTATTCAACTAACTCCCAGTTTCGGAAAGGACTTCCAATTAGTTCGTTCAAAATTGCTGGAGATCCAGCATCCAGAACTCACTTCTGACATCTGAAAGAAATTAGTGGTGAGATGCTTTTTGTCCCACCGCAAGCGTTTTGTCCTCCGAACGCACCCAATCTCTTGTTGATGAATCAAAATGACAATAAATAAATATTTTCACACACTTTTATTATACTTAGTAAAAATGTGTGAAAATATTTTATTACGAAACCGAATTTTATTATAGTTAGGTCGAAAATACTAGTACTGCCATTACTTTGGTTCTCTTTGTGACCGAGGAGTTTTATCTTTATTTTGGACAACCTTTTTCTCTTCTTTTCTTTTAAGATATTAATTTCTTTGTTTTTCTTTTTCGATGGCAAGCAGCCTTGGATCATTTTTGTTTTTTGCTAACGTTATAGCGTCTTCTTTTACACATGCGCTGTTTTGCTAATCTTTGATCTTTCGTTTGAGGCATTTTGCTGTAAGTAAAAATATTAAAGTTTTTGAAAAGTAAAATTCTAACGTTTTGATTTCACCAATGTGTAACAATGTGTAATTTAGTTGACTTTTTAAGTTCTATACCATGCCAAATTTGGTCGTAATTACTCCATACCAAACAGGCGATAAGCTGAGATTGGTGAAGTTGGGTCTTTAAATCATCACAACATCCAATAAAACATTTTTTTTAAAATGTCCGTCAAACTCATAAGTTTACATGTACCCTACAATAGTTTATTTTGAAATAAAAATGGAAAACGAATATCTCGTGAATAAAATGACGTTAACAAATAAATTATATACCAAATTTTAGTCACAATGTTGTACAAATTTTCAACGTATTTTGTATACAACATTATAATAAGGGGTTGTTATCTACATGCGTTTATAAGGATCTTTGATTGGACATAAATTTTTAACTATAAACATTTGTGGTGTGAAATAAATTTGGACATATACATTTAAAAGTTTCTTTAAAGTAAAAAAAAAGTTATCATGTATATTGTAAGCATATCACCGTATTTCTAGAATCACTCAATCTAAATGCGTCAGGATTGAGTGATCCATTGAAACTATCGTAGAATCCTGTATTTACATTGAAGTATCTTGATTTTTTGCAAAATAATGTGACAAATTCTGTACAATTTTTTGATATAAAAATTTTATTCACAGTGTAAGTATTTCCTGAGATTCGGCTTGTAGCCATTTTCTCTAATGTCTGAATTGAGTGATCCACATATTGGGCAATATCTTTGATCGCTTAAGAGTGACAAATTTTTTGATTTCGGTTATGAGTTTTGACAAATTTTGACTAAATGTTACGTTTTGGTTATTTTTAAAGTCGGTAACTTATAAAATAATATAAAATGTAAATAAAAAGTATATAATGTTTGTCCCAAAAAATTTACATCTTAATCTATTGCCATGGAAGACAGAATAAGACAGATATGTATATATATATACGATATATCTCAATATAGATTATACGTGGCCGTCCTTGCATCCGTGTGACAGATTCAAACGGGGTCTAGCTGAAAATCAGCGTCGGTCTTTTTTTGCTTTTAAGAAGTAAAAGAGATCGGCATATGCTGAGCTAGACACCTTTTTGGTACAACTGTGGGATACGCATCGCTTAATAAATGTTATAATTTTATATTGTGCCAAATAAAATGAATTTGATTTGATTTGAGATTCAAAGAACAACCCGATAATGACTGTCTTTGGTCCATTCGTTCCCTGCAAAAATCAACTTTTGCTAGAGTCGCCTTCTAGTGCAGGTGCTCTTTTAGTGCTTTCGTTTTCTTTTTAAATATTTCACCATCGTCTGGATACCTGGGACATAGTGGGATCATTGGTAGCGAGACTGCAGATTCTTGCGCGAAAGAGGCTATTTTCTTTGGAATTTACAGTTATCTAGAGATACTTCTTATGGATCTAATGTAACTTCCTCGTTCTGATCTAGTTCAATTATGGTCGTTAGATTGGCAAAACACTAGTTAAAAGCAGGCAAGAGCTACTTTCAAATTCAACCATTTATACCTAGCAGACCATGGTTTATTGTACATATTTGTATGGCATCAGCCCTTTTACGTCCCCACTGCAGGGGCTCAGGCCTTCCTTATGGATGGTTAAAAAAGATGGGCCATGACCCTCCACGCTGGCTCAATGCGGATTGGAGGGTATTAACGATTGCAGTTGCAGCCGGAACCAACGGCTTAACGTGCTCGAGATAATAATTTTTTAGTCACCCATCCCGTGACCGACCCTTGAGAAAGTTGCTTAACAACAACGATCGCGGGCCGCGGCGCTTATCCTCTACGCCACCGAGCTACTTTACTTACATATTTGTATATTTGACATTAAAAAAATTTGCTTCTAAAGTTATGAAGATCTAAATGAAGATCTTTCAATTTCTAAATTGAGAAAAGTACGAAATCTCAACTGATTATTCTCAAAAGTAATAAACTTAAGTTAGTTTATTAATTTTCACCAGGCAAAAAGTTTTTATTAAACCAATGATCATTAAAAAAAGTAAAATCAGATACGAAAAGCTGTTCAAGTGACCCTTAAGTACAGTTTGAGACACATTAAATACTCAATTCAGAAACCGGTTGATAGCGTGGAGCGGCCCGACTGACGCCAACCCAGCAGCGCCACAGTATTTTTAAATTATTTGTCGCCGCTATGTCTCGAAACTGTTAAATTAAGAATTGAAAGATGACTTAGATAGTTTTTGAAATTCATTTTAAGTACAGAGTTCTAGCTGTGGTGATGCCAGACTGCCAGCAGCGCCTTAAAGACTCATTTATCTCCAAAACTATATCTATAACATGGCATTCGTCTCTATTTTGTAAAGGACCGATAAATAAGAGACCAGATGGATCAAGATTTTTTTTTTAAATTAGAGGATAGCGTTGCTAGTCTGACACATATCTGAATGTTGGCTGGCAACTGGCGAGAAAACCAGCGCATAGGTATATACTAATTGGCTACCTGTATTTTATCGATAATTATTATTTATCTACACTAATATTATAAAGAGGAAAACTGTTTCTATGTACTGAATAGGCTTAAAAACTACTGGACCGATTTTAAAAATTCTTTCACCATTCGAAATCTACATTTTTCACGAGTAACATAGGCTATATTTTATTTTGGGAAAAATAAGGTTCCGTAAGATATTTGGGTTTTTCGGACACAAGGTGTAAAAAACCAACCAGAAAAGTTACTTATTTTGCGTACGCTGCCTAAACTATAAAAGATAGAACCATAAATTGTTCTGATTATAATAATTGTAGATGTTATAAATATCTACAAAAAAATCCGCGACACACTATACCTATCTATGTCGAGTGAGGGACAACAACAATTTTTAATTAACAATCTTGAACTTTTTTGGACTACATTTACGTGTAGAAACACGTTTATTTTACTCATGCTATTAATCCTTATCAAAATAAATTATTTCATCACTAAGTACAGTTTATTTAGATAATATTTGGTCTTTGAATGATTAAAATTGGACGTTTGGTTTTGAAGTTATAGCGAAATTAATATATTACGATATCTGCTGCATGGCCCGTTGCGAAGTGGGCGTCACCAAGGCGGGGGTGCGCGTGCGGGAGGGGAGTTTAGATCTATGAGTAAGGTACCAGCGGCCCATGCGGGCGAAGCCGCTGGCGGAAAGCTTATAAATCACTTATATAGCTGCCTGATAACTATGCTAAACGTAGATCGTAAACTCTTCACAAACTCATTTACCTCTGCCATAAGAAAAACGAATATTTCAATAACAAAAACTTTTTACTTCATATAAAGCATATTATAACAGCAAGACAAGGTTACACATTATACAATTATAACAAATTATTCCATAATCCACATATACTATACTATGTGTGCTTCACCCTATCTCCTAAACATATATATTCAATCTATTAAAAAGGAAACAAGGACATAACAAATCACCACAATAATTATGTGCATATTAATGATCTACATTCACTATCCTGTAAAAACACTTATCAGTAAAGTCAACATTTAATTTAGTTGAGGCAAATGATATTAATGGTTAGTACTGTATGTGTAATCTAAAATAATTCTTCAACCAATCACCTTATTACAAGCATATCTAAAGAACACAATTTACATAAGCAATAATTAGATGACTCATAAGTTGATTTTGAACGAAACATTGACTGTTGCCCTAATTTTAAAATTCATTGATAAGAAACCACACAATTCTCTATTGAAAATATATCATTAATATGCAGCATAATTTTATAATTTACAGTTTTAATATTAGGCTTGAGAAAAATAAATTTGTTATGTTTCTTTATTAGGTTTTTTTTATTCAATCTGAGATGAAGTTAACATAGTCTGGTGAGGACTAGAAAAAAGTAAGTTTTCGACTCCATAATCATAATCCTAGAGAGATTAGTACATATAATAAAACACTACATTTCAGGCCACTTATAATATCCCATGTGTGATGATAAATAATAAAAATAAACATACAATTTTGGAACAGTAAATATAATTTACTGTTACCTTTACTTTATGGGGACAAAAGAAAACCAGATTCATAATTAAAAGGAAATTAAAATTATCAAAATTCCTTTAAGATGCCCGTATAAATTGGACGGACTATCAATGTTGCTGTAGTTGTCATTTCAAATATTTTTCATTACCACTTACAGCTGTTCAAAAATTATGAACAAAGAGAATTGTAATCATTTTTTTTTTTTATGTTATCCACTTAACATTATGTTATGTGCATATTACACACTTTTACAGGTACATATTTAAACTTATTTATGTTAGTTTTTTTTGTAAAAACTAAACCTATATTTTTCTTTTCCCAATCTTTGGTTGCCATTACATTCTATATGAATTGACTATTTTGAAGTAGCCAAAATTAATATGATATAATCAAAATAGAATATATCTGTGTGCCATGTGTGAATATCGTATTTGATGTCCAGAGGTTTAATTGTTTAGATGAAATAGAAAACTATTAACATATATCAACACTTAACAAATTATTTCATAAATTACTATGGATTAATTATGGTCAGACTAGTGAGTATTTAACTATTTTCAAGTGTTTTATGCAATTTTAAAAACAAAAATATCAATTTTCTTCACCAAATTAATTTTTTTTAAGGATATATTAATTTTATTCCAAAGGCTTAGTCACCAAACCACACCTTAACTATTTTCAAATATAAAATTATACTTATTGATTATAAAACCTTATGCTGCAAGAGTCATTATGTACATTTAATTTCAGTGTTGTTCTAGCAGCAAGTGGACTGTACTGTTTCTGCTTCAAGTAGATTGAAATCCATACCGTTGGGTCTATTAAAACCAGTTTTGATGCCATCCCAGCCGTCCTCTACCTTGTATTCACCTGTTTGAATGCGATTATAGACTTCTTGAGCAACAAGTACAAATGCTTCTTCAACATTGAGACCAGTTTTTGCTGAAGTTTCAACATGATGGAGGCCTGTAAAATAAATTTATCACGTTCACCACAGTGACCAATGATAGTAAATTGAATTAGCATATGTTAATAATAATCTTGACTATTATTTACCATTTTCTTCAGCAAACATTCTTGCTTCTTCACATGAAACTTCTCTTCTTGCACCATTCTTGTTATCAGTACCGACTAAATCGATTTTACATCCGACCAGAGCAAACACTGGTCTGTGAGGTTCTATGTGTCTTTTAGCTTCCATCATCCAAAGTGGTATGTGCTCAAAACTAGATCTATTACATACATCGTATACCAACAACGCACCTACAGAGTTTCTATAATAAGATTTTGTAATAGATCTAAATCTCTCTTGTCCTGCTGTATCCCACAGTTGTAGTTTAATTCTGGTACCATCTTGTACTTCTATAATCCTCGCAAAGAAATCTACTCCCACTGTAGGGTCTGAAAGCTGGAACAAGAACGAGTAAATCAGATGAATATTACGCAGCAATCCCGAAAACCTTGTTAACAACAAGAAAACAATAATTATTAGAACGTACCTCTGCAAACTTCCCCTCTGTGAAATATTTCAATAGTGAACTTTTTCCCACTGTACTGTCACCAATAAGAATCAGCCTAAATTGATAATCAAATATGGGATCAACCATCTTTTCGATTACACTTTTTCATCTAACGTAAAAATAAGAGTAACAAAGCAAGCTTTGTCAAATTACGTATAATCGTATAATTCTGCTAAATTTAACAAGAGCACAAAACATAGAGAAATAATTAACTCAAAGAGTAGATTATAACTATAGTTAATATTGTTGGATCCTAGGTTGGATGGTGTCTGGTCTACGGTATAAAGAGCAAATCAATTTGACGCAGCATTCATATTTCTTACTTGCTTTTGTTTTTCTCTTCACAAAATACATTAACTGTACAACAATCCTGATTTTATTATTTTATTACTTAGTATCTACAATTTCATATCACCTACTGGTGATATCAAATATACTCTATGATTATAATAGCCATAGATAGGATATGGGTGATAAAACTGTTTGAACACAGAGAAAGTGAATTTTAACGTAACATAAAACATTTTAGTGAAAAGGATTACGAAAAGCGGGGCTGTATGAAATGAAGTCGTTTGTCTTAATATTATAATAAATATGACCATAGACTACGTATTACTTTGAATATGTCACTGTCACTTTATTTATGGGTTTATGGTTTTTATGTTATCGATGTCCGTTTTTGTATGTTGCCAATTTGCCGTTGTTTTAATTTTTGGTGATTACAAGATTTAAAGAAGTTGGTGACTGATGGAGAAAAATTATGGTCGAATTGTGTCGAAAATATATAATTTTATCTAAGACGTAGATTGTGCGTAGCTAACTTACGTGATTAAGGGCTTATTAAGCAAAGAAGGTTGAGCTCCGCTTAACAGGTAAGTACCTAAGCATGATAAATATAAACTAAACTGAAAATGCATTAAGCTATTATGCCCTCAAAATGTTAAGGAAAATTTGTCGTTTCAGGTAACGAATTATATAAACAATGAGTTTTACTCAGAGTTATAAAACGAAGGAGCATGCTACTGAGTACAGTGAAAGTAAAACTAGAGCTACACCAGTCGGTAAGTATATTTGAAAAATAAACTAAAAAGATTTCTAATTTGTGTACCTAATCAATCAGACAATGACAATTTTAACCATTTTCCATAAAAAAATAGCAATGGTGGCTCCGGAATTGAAACACAGCACTGAGGTTAACACTGAAATAACAAAAAATTGTGCAGTCCTGGGTTGTGATGACTCGAAGAATTTGGATCCTGAATCTTTCTTTAGGTAATTTTTAAAGAACATATCATAATGTTGTTTTGATGTTTATAACTGGTTTGTATAATAAACTTAATTTGGACAAAACAATGTTCCAATAATAAAATTGTTTCATTAACTAGATTTTACACATATTTTTTTCTCCTTGTCAATTTGTTCCATTGCTTTGATATGAAAATTATATTTATATTATTTTCCTATAGATTTCCAGAAGATGCAAATCTTAGACAGATATGGACAGACCTTACTGGTCGTAACAACTGGACTCCAACCGACTACTCATACATATGTATTCAACACTTTTCTGTTGATTGTTTTGAATGTGATTCAACTAACACCATGGTTCTTGTTGATTCTGCTGTGCCTTCATTGAAATTACCTAACCATGTTTTGGAGGTAAGAAAAGCTATTTGACATACATATTGACTTATTATAGAAATTAGCAGCTCGCATCATTAAAATATAAATTAATAAGCTATCCACCTGCAACTTCACCATTGTGGTTCACATAATTTACAAGCCCCTATTTAACTCCTTCAGGGTTTCATCTTAAAAATATATATTGTAGTGTATCAACCTACTAATATATATTAAAAATAAATGTGAAAGTTCATGAGGATAGATGTACATATATTTACTCTTTTACTCAAAAACTACAGATTTTGATAAGATTTGTTATACATAAAAATATACTGTTAAATTATCATGTAAACCATGTGGACAAAGTGCATCGTGGAAAACTAAGAGGGTGGATTGAAAAGTTTGCGGCCTAACACATAAATACTTAAACTATTTTAATGTAACTGACCTCATTTGATTAGTTTACTCTTTGGTTGTCAAATTGTAAAATTCTATCGCAATAGCATTAACTGTATTTAAATTAGACTGAATTTTATGAGCCTTTGTGCAGCATTTTTAAAGAATGGAGAAAATTGAGCAATGTGCGGTCATCAAATACCTGTTTAAAAAATGATATGCTAAGGGTGTCATCATGGTGGACTACCTTGCAAAAGGTGAGACTATAAACTCGGCTTATTACTGCACCCTCTTACGTTGCTTGCGCGAAGCAATCAAAGAGAAAAAGCCAGGATTATTCAGCAAGAAAGTGTTGTTCCATCAGGATAATGCATGCATTCACTCGCCTGTTGAATCTATGGCTCAAATTCGTGATTGTGGCTTTGTACTACTGCCCCGTCCCGCCTATTGCCCTGATTTGGCACCTTCAGACTTTCATTTATTCCTAAACCTAAAAAAACACCTTGGTGGTCAAAAATTTTCATCAAATGAGGAGGTCGAAACTGTGGTGGGTGACTTTTTTGAAGGCCTTGAAGAATCTTTTTTTTATGACCGGCATACAGGCGTTGGAAACCAGATGGAAGAAGTGTATAGAGTTAAGTGGAGATTATGTGGAAAAATAAAATTACTTTTGCTTATACATATTTTATATTTTTTTCATGCTGAGGCCGCAAACTTTTCAATTCAGTTTAGTAATGTCATATAATTTTATTGGTGTGCCAAATTTCAGCTCTATCCAGAGAGTAGTTTGTATATAATAGTAATAATATATTTAAGAAATTGACATTTTATCTACTTTTTGAATAATGATGATCTTAGAGAGGGGATGGAGTACCAATTAGTGTTTTTTAGGAATCCATAAATGTGTATATTTCTATCTTTGTCTATGTTTTATATAACTATTAAGCCAGATCCACAATAAACTATGCAATTTCAATCAAATAAAGATAAAATCCAAAGAAACGAAATATATATGTATTTCATATAAATTTGCATGTTGGGGCATGCAAGACTCATTCACATGGACCACTCCTGTGGAGTGCGTTGGATTACTGATATTGTTTACAGCATGATGAGATATAAGGTCTATATCCCTATTGTCAATTACATATGTATTATAATTTAATAATTCCCACAGGTTGAATACATAGATGAAGAGAGTTTAGACAATGAATATAATTATGAAGAGTATATGGATACTGATGAGTTCGAAGATGAAGAGGCTACACCATCAGCAGTCATCATTACTCAATCAAAGGGCATTACTCAAATTAACAGAATGGCTCAAACCAACAGCATGGGCCAAGCCAATAGCACTTCTCAAACCAACAGCATGGCTCACGCAAATAGTACTTCTCAAACCAACAGCACAGTCCAAACTCATACCACCACTCAAACCATGAGCACCACTCAAACCAGTAACTACACTCAAACTAACAACGCCATGGAAACAAATGGCAATAATGAGAAAATAGAAAAAACTAATCAAAAGGTTAATAATGTAGAGCTTTTAAAACTATTTACAGAAGTGCAGAAGATGCAAAGGCAAGCTGTTGGTTTAAAAGAAAAATTGAAAACCAACATGCAATTACATAATCGGCAGAACAGACATTTCCGTCGCTTAGAAGAAATACTAGAAAGGAAAAAGAAAATACTTGAGGAGAAACAAAAGAAAAAGTCTAAAATTTTGCTAACATTACAAGATAAAGTGAATGAAGATATGAGTGGACTAGTGTTAGCAATGCCAATGAGACAAACTGAGGATTTAAAGAATTTTGCACTAAATATTTACAATTATTCCCCACAAGCTTACATTTACTTAAGAAATACATTGAGAACAATGTTGCCGAGTACAGATGTTATGGAGACTTGGCTGAATGCTGGATTCCAACCAAAGAGTATCATGAGCAGCTCTAATATGGTCAAAGTGACTGCTGAGCAAACCGAGAAAGACTTAATATGTAAAGTATCAATAGTATAATAGATAAGTTTGATCATCATTGTTTTTTTAATAAATGAGATGAAAGTGTTCAGTTATACTTTTTCTGTGGCTTCCTAGTATTTTTACACTTTGCATTCTATTAAAATTTAAGATATTTGGCACTATAAACCTGTATGACTATGAAAGACATAACAATGAGTTGTTAATACTTAGTATTAGTAAAAATTCATATGATTTAACACAGACTTAGCGACACTGTTACAAGGTTATTATTACAAGGATTAGCGTTGGAGTAAATTTACGCTAAGACTGCACTTAGTATTATTAAAAAAATATATTATTTAAACAGAGACTTGGCAAAAGTTAACCTAGTACGAGGTTGTACGGGAGTAATATTTACTCCTAGAAGGTAGTAGGTTTGCTTATTTTCTGTATAATATGCATTTGGACTATTTAAAATTTAAATTTTAGCGTAAATTTACTCTGACGCTAAACCTCGTTTATTAATAACATTGTTTAGAGTATAACTTTTTGTTTACATTTTTTACGACGTCCGTGGCAAGTGGCTGGCGCGGTTTCTAGGTGTCGCTAACTCTATAGTCTTGGGTGTGATTCCCGGTCGGGTCAATAGAGAAAATGAACTTTTTTCGGATTTCCATAACAAAAGCGTTTGCAATTTATGTGATGTTGTCTAATATTTTTTAATTTGCGAATGACATGTTTCGCAAATATCTTAAACTTCTTTTATTTGCGCTAATTCATATCAGCAAAAAGATTTTGTGTAAGAACCTCTTATAAAATTGGTAAAACAAATTTATTGTTAATGAAAATTGGTTTCTTTAAAACAAACCGAAATTGCGTTTTTTTTTAAACATACGTAAAAATATTACCAAAGATAAATTAAGTCCGCGATTTGCTCAAATTGCTGGCTCAATGAAACTTGGCGCCCTAGGCAAAACACTGGAATGACGCGACGCTCATAAAAATATAACAAAAACTAGTGTAAGTAAAACCGAATACTGTAATTTTGCCAGTGACAAAAAAACTTCCTTAGGCACTGCTGCTCTGTTTTTGTAATTTTGTACTTATTAATACCGCGGACACGGACCTATGTTTAAAGAACAAATGTCAATAAGTAAAGTAATTTAGAGCATTATAGCAAACATAAATTGCCATGCCGCCTCCTAAATACGAGCGGGTTTTAGGGGGTATGTTCCTGCACTTTTCCTCGATGTCCTGGGGGCTAGCGCTGGAAAAGCGAGGCAGTTATGCGTCTTCCTTCGTAAAACAGCGATTACAGTACTCACTGCGAGCATTTTAAAAACTACCCCGATTCGTCCCACCACCGCTTGCCACTTTATGGTGGCGACTCAAGGTCTTTTTTTGTAGTCTGCTTTGTAGGTTGCTGTTTAAGGTACTCGCTACTGTATATCTCCACAATTGTTATTAAGAATGTAAGGTGGATGCCCAAATAATATGCACCTATCTAATTGCCGACAAACGACAACAGTCCCCCCGATACATCGAAGGTTTCTCTGTAGGGTTTCATACACAAAGGTCAAACGAGAATAAGCTAAGAAAGCTCAGACTTCGCTGTCTGTTTGTCACCAGGCCGTATCTCATGAACCGTTATAGTTAAGAGTTGTAATTTCACAGATACCGTTTTTTTTTGTTGCCGCCTCGACAACAAATACTAGAAACTAGAATAAAATAAATATTTAATGGGTCTTCCATACAACAATCGTGATTTTTTTGCTTGTTTCCGGTACGGAACCCAGCGCGAGTCCAACGAAAAAAAAAGGTTTTTTTTCTGACTAGTGATGTTGGCCATCAGTATCTTGCAACCATTGCTGTTCCGATATCAGGTGGAACTGTTTTAGAGCCATTTAATTCTAAGGGTCGGTGCACAACTGACGGTAGGCCCATTGAGCATATCAAAGCAAGAATGTGTCGACGGACTGATGGAACACCGTTTCAATGGTTCGGTTCCAAGTTGTAATGTCTTAAAGTTATTATTTTTGATGTCAAATTCCGTCTTGGATTTTTCGCCGGTTTGGCACTGACCAACGACCAAATGTCCAATAGTTCTAGTGTTTGATTTTCGCGTGCTTTGTTGCCGCTTGCGTATGATACGTTGCATGTGTACATATATCAGTCTTGCGTATTCTACCTTTCGTATGTTATGTGGAAGTAAATATAGTAGGTATCGGTTTTTTTGCATCAATTACAGTAGACTTCCGTAGAATAAAGCAATTTTATTAATTGTTATGGGAACATTATGATACAGGTAATTTCGGAGTGTTCTTGCTACATTTTTCCTTCTCATTCCGGATAAGTAAAGACAAAGCAGGATAGTTGTCTCTCTGGAGGTGCCTGAGATATGGAGTCTGAGGTATTGACCACATCTGTGAATTTACAATAATAATGAGTCAGAGAACAAAAAAACAAACATTTCCATGAAATGCACAGTCTTCATCATGAGCCCATTAATGACTCCATTGGACATAGGAATTCCCTATACAAATAAGGATTTCAGTTGCCTAATCAATAGCAGATTAGCGATCATCGTCTAAATAAAATTATGGTCATCAAGGTTGACAGAAAAACACGCATTACAAAACCAAGTTACCTAGAGTACGGTAACATAAAAATACACCTGTTATGTGCGGTGCTCTCGTGCAGTACAATCCACAGGTAGCTAGTTCTCAATTTTCGTAGTCAAGTCGTTCCGTGAGAATTAATTTTGTAACAAAGAAAGCACAAACAGAGCCTTACTTAACTCCTCACTCGTATAATAGATGGCGTCACTCGGTCTCGTTGGAGTGGGAAGGCGTAACACGGGCAAGGCGAGGCGAGCGAAACAACTGTTCCGGCTCAGTGCCGTGATTCCCTCCGCGTAGACGGTGGTGTGGTGTCGCAATCCCGAATACCGTATACACGCGTCGCGCGTCAACAAAAATAAATACCCCCCATCTGTTCAAACAGCCGTGCAGTTTTTACTATAACCCACGAAACAAACGCAAATTGTGTGTTTTACGTTACGACGCATATGTCGTAAAAGGTTTTACAAGTTTGTTTCTTTATTTTTGTGTTTGCCAAGTGCTCCAGTGGTTTTTGTTTTCGTTCCGTGTATTGTAACTGGATTTGTGATCACGATTATGCCGAACGGCTCATAAAAGGTAATCCCTAAGGCTTCTATTTTTAAAACGGGACGTATTTATATCTATCTATTCCTTGTTATGTGAGTTGCGAGTCTATCAAGAGTCGCCAGTAACAGGACTTTCGCAATCACTATTCATCACGCGTGTGTGCATGCCTTAAACGTAACACACTGTGCCTTAAACGGAATACATTCGATAGCTATTGAAATACGTGTAAAATATATAATGTTCACCATTATGTGACCATAAACAATTATAATTATGGCTTTGGTCCATGTTAATTTTTTATTCAAATCGTGTTCGGTATTTCATTTCTCTTTTGACTTTTATGGGTTTCAGAATGTCATCGAAAGTATTGCTCCCTTTATTATACTTTCGAACTAATTAATGTGTAATTGCATAGTAGCGTTGATATTCGCATAGAAATAGACTACTAATAATGTCTTAAAGTGAAAGTTGTGAGTGCCTCGTTTCCTGGCTGTTACTTCATACGCAGCGTACAGTTATTCGTATTAGGTTCCTGTCAAGTAACATTTTGCAAGGGTCAAGTCCATAAGTCAAGGCGAATAAATCATAGGCATTTTAGCAAGCGCTTCCTATTCATTTACTCAATTTATCTTCCTTTGTGGTCATCGTGGCTGCCAATTGACAGTTTCCGAACGTTGTTCATTCATCATCCCCACACCCTGTAAGGGATTTAATTACTTAGCTAGTTCTATGCGCAATTCAAAAGAAAGATTTTTTAAACTATGCAGTTCCGTTAGGTTTCATTGTCGTTTGTCAGTTCAATGACCCTACTACAATAATACAATACATCGATCGTTATCATTCGGTAGCCACTAAATTATTTGTTTATGGACAAATGTTTTATTTCTCAGACAATTAAATAATGAGGTCATTAATTTATACGTATGCTTTAATTTAGTCGCTAGTGTATTAAAAATTAAAGCTTCGAATTTATGATTGCTTTTGAAAATAAATAGACTAACAGCTAGTTGCACAAACGTCCATTACAATTTACATTAGTTTAAAACGACATTACCCATACAATTTTGACATCCATTAAAGCTTAAAGGCATCATTAAATCATAATGGATATTTGTGCAACTGACCATAAATAAAGTTTTAATGTGGGTTATTGTTATTAATAATTTCGATTAATTCATTTTGAGTTTGGAAAGTAAGTGAGTTTGGTATTTGTATAGGTATCTGAAGGCCAATTTCAAGTTTCTACCTTGTATAGAATAAACCAAAATTTTGGGAAACGAACAAAAGGGAGGGTGGTAACTCAAGATATCGTCTTTCGCTTGCCTGATTTTCAAAACAAAGAGTGTGTAAGGATAGGTATATCTGTATAGATAGGTATCGGTATACTGTACACAGTGAGTGACACAATATTGTAATGTTGCTACTAGCAATTTAGGTTGGGACACCATTGGGCCAATCTTATTATATAATCTAAGAGGCCAGAAACTGAAATCAAGTTCAGTCACCATCAAATTGCTACTAGGGCTAACAAATGATGAACGAATTTAAAATCAATATTTGAAAAAGACAACCATCGATTTTATATCAAAATGTTTCTCTACCTATGAAGTTGACATTTTTGAAATTTTTTTTACTCGAGTCACTCGAAAACTCGAGAATGACTCGAGGGAGCTAGTCAATTGGCTCGAGTGACTCTAGTCACAAAACCCTACTCGAGTCGCATCACTAAGCACTTGTAAAGAAAAATAATCTTACTACCTATATTAACTATTTGCTGAAAAAGAATGCCTTATTGTTTTTCACCAATAAACAATAAGGAAATAATTGTATTATACTTATTTCAGTAAAATTCTTTGTTACACTTTTTTATATTTCTTCACAAGTTACACAATAAAGTTAAATTATAGATAGTACACACCTATTTTTAGTTTCGTTTGGAAT